GAAGTGACTTTAAATGCATTTAAACTCCTTTGGCTTTGTGGAAGGCATCAAAACTTGGTTCCATGTCTGCTTACATCATCCAGTTCTGGCAAATCTGATGAGTGTAAGCTTGGTGTGGTGATGCAATCGGGGGAAATCTGACTTAGAAGTTTTTGTCGGGTTCAGTCCACATGTGATTGTAATGCTGGTTGAAAATGTCACTGTTGTTTCCCTGTGTGTCCTCATAGTCGGTCAGTTGACAGTCTCTAATAACTGTATTTTCCAGGAACTTTCACAAATAGAGATTTACTGTGTCTTTGAACACTGCCTTCTGTTTTATCCTCCTTTTTGTTATTTTCCTCATAGTTCCCCGTTATGATTGACTTCTGTGTTGGCATCTGTACTGAATGAGGAGGAGGTAAGGGTGCATCTGAAGCTGACGGTTTTATATCTATCATTTAACAAACTTTTAATGTGTTTGGCCTCTTTAATTAATGCCTCTTTAATTTTGTTTGCCTGCTCCTCGAACTGCTCCACCACTTCTAACTCTTTCTCCCTCTTCTTCTGCCTCTTATCGGACTTACACTGTGAAGATTTCTGATAAGCACTTCCATCTCTGCACACACATTTGTGTCTGACGTAACCTTTCTGTGGCCATAGACAGGACCCATTAATCTGAACATGTTTTTAGTTATTCTGCAAGTATTTCTATGACCACCTTTTTTTCTTGTGTTTTTATTGAGCAACAAAGATTTATTGTTGAACTATTTGATTATTTGGCTGTTTATCTCCCAAGCAGAGGTATTCCTATTAATAGGATCATCTTTTCTCTTTTTAATTTGGCACCAACAAATTTAATACAACACACCATAGCTGGATGTAAAACTTGTAGTATGCACAATCCAGTCCATCAAATTCTGAGGAAAAAAAGACTCAGTATGCCATATTCAGTGATAAAAGTTTATTTGGTATAATTGCATTGTGTCTCCAGTTCGGACATTTTGATATTTACTTTATTCATATGCAGTTTTTTGTTTTTTTCCTTCATTATTGTCTGCTATTTTCTATTTATTAATACATTATTAATACTTAGTCAATATTATTTATTTAGCTCTTTTAATATTTCATGCTCGTTTTAAATTAGCTCTGACACAGGTTAGCATTAATGATCAGAAGTCTATCCACACCTTCATTTATTTCACTTTTCCTCTGATTGCCCACTGTCTATCTCTCATCTCATAAAGGTTTCATCCAGAAAAATTAATGGTTTGTGTTGTTAGGGTTCATTCAACTATTTGTAGTTAGTGTTGGTATGTACTTTTTTAGTTGCTACTTAACTCATCTATTCTAGCAGCAGCATATTAAACTGCATTACAGGCCTGGTTAAATTTTCTTTATCTTTTGTTTATTTAGCAGATTCACAATAATTGAACACTGACAAAAATTAAGCCTCAGTATGCTTCATTGTAACTCAGTCCTAATCATCAAATGTGTTTGTGTAGCGTCTGTGTTTGTCAAAAGTAAGTATATGCTGCTGGTCCCCAGTACTGAGTCTGGATGTCCCCGTATGTCCAGGACCACGTCCATGTGTAACTGTAGGTCCCCGTATGGTGGATATTGAAACCCTGTGTGTATAACTATAAGTGTTTTCCTGTAAAACGGGGACCAGGTGTAGATGTGCACATGTGTTCAGTCTCTCTTTGTGTGTGTGTCTGGTGGGTAGAATAGTGAGCTGAGAGGGGAAAAAAGCCGACATGATAAACTACTCATTCATAAACCAACTTAGAAACACATATACATAAGTGACACCGATGTAGACAGACAACAATATGAGACTACACTATTCAGCAAAAGTCCAGCTCAGCTCTGACATCCCAGCTTCACAAGAATGTACTCTTCAGCACTCAGAGAGCCCAACCAGCTCTAAAGTAAGTACCCTTGGTACCAGCTGAGGGACCAAACCTCTATATTTACCTCTCAGATACCTCGCAAATCATCAAGACTTTCTAATGTGCAGAGTTTCTGTTGGAGTTGCTGTCCTAGGCTCTGTCTCAAAAAAGTAAAATTCAGTTTTTACCAGGTTCTGGTCCTCATGCTTAAATCAGTTTTTGGATCAGGATTGTTTCTGAACTGAATCTTTGACCAGATAAAGGTTTGTAATCTTCTGACGTGTATTTCAAGTCATTTTTAAGAACTGTTCTCAGAGCTCGATATGCCGTCAGAGTTCCAGGTGACCTGTTAAAACTTGTTGGTTTTGGTGGTTTTCACTGTTTTTTTCATTACTTCACTACTGTGGAGTGACTTGAACAGTCTCAGACTCAGACTCAACTTCAGACTCAGACTCAACTTTATTGTCATTCTCACCATGTGACATGATCGAATGAAACACAGTTTAGTATAAGTTTATTGTGGGGGAGGAGCAGTTCAGCAGTCTGACAGAAGCTGTTTCTTGGTCTCCTTCTAGAGGGTAGGGGGTTGAACAGTTCATGTGCAGGGTGGGTGGGGTCATGGAGGATGCAGCTGGCTGTGTCCCTGCATCTGATGGTGTATATGTCCCCAGTGGGTGGTAAACTGCACCTGATGGTTCTTGGTGCAGACTTTGTCCAGTGTGTTGTCCCCCCAAGTGGTGATGTTAACGTGCTGGTGGAACGTAGGGAGAATATCCTGCAGATTCACATGGTTGAAGTCCCCAGCCACCAAACACAGCGCTTCTGGGTGTTTGTTTTTTAATGAGCCAACGCTGTCGTGTAGCTCCAACAGCATTTCGTTAGTGGTCGCTTGCAGGGGGACATAAACAGCCACTATGAAGACTGCTGTGAATTCCCGCGGCAGATAGTGAGGACGCCATTTCAGGATTAAATGTTCCACAGCCACACAGCAGTGTCTGCCCACCACAACACAGTTCATGCACCAACCATAGACGTAGATGCAGAGTCCCCCACCGTTGGTCTTTCCGGAGGGCAGTGGGTCTCTGTCTGAGAGGAAGAATAGTCGCTCGTCGAGCTCGAAGACGTCCAGCATGTTGTTGTTAAGCCACGTCTCCGTCAGGACAAAGACGTGCAGCTCTGCATCTCACATTGGCTCAAACGTAGCAGGTCCATTTTGTTGTCCAGAGCCCAAATGTTGGGTAAAAACAGCACTGGAATAGGTGGCCTGCTAATGTTAGCCCTTAGACTGGTTAGCAGACTGGCTCTTTTGCCTCTCTTCTGCTTTCGCGTACACTGCCTCGTCTTGGCTCTGAGCCAGCGCCATCTGCCGTTCCGTGCCAGTGTTCTTAAAATTTTCAGTTTCCCGCTCACTGCTTTGAGTTCAGGGGGGAACTGAGCATGAAGGTCGCCGTTTAACTCCATAAGCTGGATTGGGCTCTACTTTATAGCTGTTCTGTTACTGATATTGCTAAAATTCAAGCTAACACCGAGAGTTAAAGAAGCCGCTGCACTACTGCGCACCGCCACCTTGGAAAAAAGTGTCTCGTCTTACCTGGTATTTTTTTCTTTCCTATGTTTCTGGTGACTGCATGACCAGGCTGGATTTTAGCCTGGATGGTAAATGGTCTGCACTTATATTGTGCTTTTTACATTGGTGATACTCCAAGCACTTTACAGTGTGTTTCTCATTCACCCATCTCACACACATTCACACCCCAGTGGCGACAGACTTGTAGTGCAAGGTGCTTTACTGTCATTGGGAGCAACTTCAGGTTCAGTGTCTTGCCCAAGGACACTTGTGGGGGGGCAGGGGATTGAACCACCAACCAGCTTTACCATCTGAGCCACAGTCGCTTTTAAAACACAACTTTAGACTTATTTATCAAAACTGGTCTGTATCCCACCTGCTATGATTTAATTTTGTGATCTGTTTTGTTTTTTTGTTTTGTTTTGTTTTTTTTTTTTCTTTTTTACTTTTAATATAACCATTTATTTATCTTTGGATCTAATGTTGATTTGTTTTGGTTTTGTTGTTGTTTTGTTGATTTTCTTTGTTAAGCAGTTCAGAACGTTGTGTTGTAAAAGATGCTATATAAATCAATGTTACTTACTTTACTTGCTATAATTGTGAAGTTATTACAAACTCAAAATCAAATCAGCTTCATTTACATAGCAACAACTACAAACAACTAAAGTTGACCAAGGTGTTTTACCTGTTAACAACTGGGTAACCACTAAAATAAATGTAAAAACCAATCACATTATAAGAGAGATTAAGATTGTATAATGCAGTAAAAGAGACATAATAGGACAAGAAGATATAAGATTAAAGTTCATATACAATTTAAACACTGAAATGTCTGCCTGGAGGAACAGAAAACTAAATTTTTACGTACATAAGTTTGTATAATGGTGGCAGCGTATCAGTCCTCTTCCAGTGTTGTCCCCCTCTTGCCCTTTCCATCATCTGGGATCAGTTGACCGTGTCTAACGATGATTATTGTGATTATTGATCACTCTGATCAGTCAATAGATGATAAGTTTTCTACTTCTGTTTACTCATGTCCAGCTGCCTGAGCCGTGGAAGTTACCGTTCTGTTGATATGAAAGTGACCAATGGTTCTGTTTGCTGTCATTCTGATACTAAAAAGGACAGTGTGCCCCCATTTAAAGTCAGCATCACAGGGAGAACAGTCAAAGGCCCTTTGAGGAGATTTTGCAACAACCTCCACCACACCAACAACACAACTGTTCATTAACTGTTGATATATTCTTTGACTTTATCAGGAAGCCACGATGACGTCAGAGTTGCTCTACAACACCCTGGATGATCTGGACGATGACGAGCTATCTATATTCCAGCGGTTCTTGCAGCTGCCCAACAATGTTCAAGGCCTCTCGGCCATCAAAAAGAGCCGACTACAGACAACAAACAGGTGGGACACTGTGGATGTGATGGTGCAGACTTATGGATTTCCGGGAGCTGTTCAGGTGACCAGGACGGTTCTAGAGAAGATTCACAGGAAGGATCTGCTGCAGAGTTTGCCTGCCAACATCTCAGGACCAGAAGGTGAGTCACAAGAGAAGAACAACATGATATCATTGCAGTCAGAGAAATGCATGATGGTACTGTTACAGTTTTAAAAAATGTAGATTTTGTCAGTTTTTCCTGTTTCCACATGTAAGATCAGTTGTTATGTAAAATCTGCTGATCACGTCTTTTAGCGAACCCTATTGACTGAATGTTTTCCCCTGCTGTTTAAACCTCAATACAATACTGAAATTAGTCATATATTAGCTGACCTTCTGTGTGGCGACCTGTCCCCACCTGTGCTCACCAATTATGCGCCAGATCAGACAGTTTCTGGAGATTCCTCATTAATAGTGGTGAGCTGAGAGTGGTCCTGCAGTTTACAACCAGAGGGACCAATCAGCTCTCAGTAAGGGCAGAGAAATGTTGTTGAAGCAGGTGTATTCCAAATCACATCCCTTTTAATATCAGTGCATACCACAGCTGCCTCACAAAGTATGCACTGTTTCATGCAGGATGCATACAGTTGGGACATACTACTTGACCACAATATGGTGCCTTAAACTTGTGATCTTTGTCTGTCTGTCAG